TACAAAAACCGTCAGTGGATAACGCGTCCCAGTATGTCTTGCGACTAAAGGAAAACCTCAGGAAAGTGGTTGACGCTGCGCACAGACATTTGAAGAAGGCATATGCTAGGCAAATGAGATCCTATGATAGACAGAGTCGAACATACGTCTTTAAAGAGGAAGATCTGGTGCACTTGCATTGACCAATTCTCCTGTCAAGAACCCATCGGAAATTCTACCACTTCTGCAGCAAGGAGACCTACCGGATAATCAGAGTCCTGTCACCCACGAATTACCTCATTCGGAATGCGGAGATCGCTGCTCGGCCTCAAAAAGGACATCATAACTAGATTAGGCCATATACGGGTGCGCCCCCAGTAGGCTATGAAGACAAAGTCTACACGTTGGCCGAGAAAGGGAAATCGCCTGACGGAACTCTACTGGTCAGCACTGAGGCTGATGATTGAAAGAGAATGGGAATTGTGTAATATATATTAGGGTGCTTGAGTTGACCTTTATAGGAGAGAGACGGAAACAAATTGGAACTCGAATTCGGTGCCTGAGGACCGTGAGGAATCTCTCTCCGGACGAATTCTGCTATTCGTCTCATCTGTACTCCTATCTTCGTTTTTCTTTTAATAAATGCCTAGTAAATCTACTGCAACTAACTCTCTCTCGAAGTTTGGGATTCAAGAGGACGAGGGTGAGCATGCAGTCCCTACAGACACCATAAATAGAATCTCCTATGTTTACTGCTCACAAGAATTTGATTGAATCACCACTGATCACGGATTTCAACCCACGATATTAATTTAAATAACTCTTAAGATAGGCAACGATCTGTTGTACCACTTTTGGCCCCTTATCTCCCCCGATTTTATATGTTTCTCTACTAAGAACGCAAACACCTGATTTGCTGTCGTTTCTATCTTTCCATAGCCTTTAAAACACGAGTTACGCATAACTTCATCCCAAAGTCAGGACATTCCAGAAAACACATTATTTAAATCGAATATATTCATTGAGCAAGAGGGAAAGGGCCGCGGCTTCTGACAAAATCCTTTCGCCAGATCACTTGGCCGAGTCAATATGGCCGTCTCAGTGATCGAGCGTTACATGAATTGCCTCATCTATAATACCCTTTAAAGGATGCGACTGAACTCGGAAAATTAAGTAATAAGGGAAAGTATTTTATATGAGATACTTTAAAATGCAACCTTTTTAACGCAGACGTATTTGCTTAGACAGTGGAGCCCAGTATGTGTCGGCATTAGTTAAAGATCAGAGGTCGTGAATGTTAGTGATGAAGGTACGCATCGCCTTTATGCCACCTATTCGGTTTCCTTCACACGTTTAAATTTACGAATGCAGGTGCGCAACTTGGCATAGTCGCCTCCAATCTGTGTTCCGATTTCCTCATTATTCTTGAAGAAGTAGAAAGAAGGAACAGCATAGAGACTGTAGAACGGTATCAGATCCTGTAAGCAAAGAGGACATTGCATTAATGGCAAGCTGTATATGCCAGTGATGAGTTGAATGATAATAAAACCTGTGCTACTATAATGGTGTAGGTAAATGGATTTCTAAACTAAAGGGGTCTAAGTGTTGGATGGAAGTCTACTATATCTCGCACTGTGAAACAATAGCATTGTGTTTCTATGTTTTTGTACGGAGGTGCACAACCACAGTCAAGTGTAGAATGGATGAGAACATACTGGGGCATCATCAACGTCAATGAGGACAAGAACAACGTGGTGATCTTCTTTGGCAAGTGAATCCAGATGCCCTTTGAGTTCTAGGGAATGGGGGCACCATTCGGCTACAAAAATGAAGACAACTAACTTTTTTGTATGTGCTCCAAGTAGAGTTTGACATTCTTCCTAAAACCACAAAAAAATCACATTGGCGTCTTGACTTCCAACGAAATTTAATTTTGCATTCAATTGCAAAGAGAATGCAGTCTTCTTCCTTGTATTAGTAAGGAAGGGTATCTTACCGATAAGCACTTCCGTATGGCATTGGAGCTACTGGTTCTCATTTAATTACCGCGTTAGAAAGAATGCGAACTAAAGATGATATGCGTATTGATAAGCTCTTCCCACTTGAACATGGTTATAGAACTTCCAAACTCTCACTGTCAATGGACGAACACCTCCTAGGATTTGCTCTGAGCCGTGTAGCGATGTGGCTCGAAAACAAGCTTCATGCCATCTAAATGGACACACCTTACGTTAAGCTAGTCAATCCGATTTTCATTAAGCGTTTTATCACCTTAACATTTTATGAACGTCAGAACGACCAGTGTTGGTTAGCGCGTGGAAGCAGTGGGAGAGAGTTCACCTCCGTCAGCAGACAAAACCCTAGAAATGTTTATTTTTGGCACAGCTGGAAGTCTTAAGTTGAGAAACAATGCAGCCGGAGGAGGATTTAAATGCCCTTTAACTTCTATCAAAATCAAGCAAATTAGGTACCAACAAGTGCATCAATGAGAAGCGTAAAAGCATGAGCGCTAATGCTTCACTGCAACTTATCCATCGAAAAATAAGAAGCAGAAGGAGACCGGCCTTGTGCATACTTTGGAAGAGGCAAATTGAAGATGATGCTGTAGACTAAGACTGCTTCGCCTGGAGCTTCTTTTAGGTGGCATGTCCGACTTCTACTGGCCAAAATGGGTAGCCGTAGTGGGCGAAGAAAGGGACCCTCCAATCCACATTCGGTAACCATTGGTAGGCGCCTATTTTGTTGCCATTAGCCTAGAAGACTTTCTATTTGTTTCCTACCTTCCTTTGATACTCTTTAATGGCACAGACAAGAAAACTTTAGCCAAAATGAAAGAAATGCAATTTCCAACTTAAAATTTGCCCACTAAATGTACTTTAACGTTCGTTTGTAATGATATGCGTCTTGGCAGTGGAAAAAAGCTGGTAATGTTTTACTGTGTGAGCTTGTTACAATAAAGGATTTTAAAATCTTAGCTATATGCCACAATAAGTTCCTTTTGAACTTCACTCTAGTCCAGAATTTACAATGGAAGGGACGCTACTCCCTGTTTGGCACATTGTTGCACGAATAAAATGAATGTTTCGCATTTAACTATTTTCTGACGAATCGGTACCGGCGGCATTCAAGGGGACTGCTTCAGTCTCAACCAAATTCTTCCGTTCTAACAAAATAAACTCACACAACCAATGATCGAGATTCTGAATAGTCCTGCCTCCAACACATTGGGAGGTATTAGGGAAGAGAGTCGCCTTAAGGAGTGCAAACCGCGAGGACGTTAATTATGTGCTCCAAATTGAAATTATTCACTTCCTATTTTGTACTCAATTTATCATTTGTGATTATACTTAGATATGTAAAAGCTGTGTATATTTTGGACTAGGTTTTTAGTGGTTCCGACTTTGGTTAATGAATTAACTACAATTTTTCGCACAAGATCCTCTAAAATTGTGTTAGGATCAGCTTTTCATCGGTTCGTTGTCATGGCAACAGCTTGAGCAAATGTATAACTCCAAGCGCAACAAACTATACGCTAGACCTGTACTTTAAACATGTCTCATTTTGTGCGAACGAAACTCGCTCTTTTAAACGTTATCGTCACAAATTGAAATAACTTTAGCCACAATCAACCTCTACCACGCTAACGAGGAATGGAGTCACTAAACGGAAGCTGAGTCGGAACCTCATTTTGCACTTTATGAAATTCGGAATCTCTCGGCTCTAGCCATTGAAATCAACATAGTAGCTGTGACAATTTTAAAGGGAAATTTAGCCCAATATTTGATTTCTCGCCTTCTTACAGCTGCTTGATGAGGTAAAAGAACACCACTGTATTCCCACATAAACGAATAGTTTCCCTTTAATTTTAAGCCGTTCTAAGTTATAAACGTCAATCATTTAATGCCCGCCGTTTTGCCTCAATCAAACACATGTTTTAACGCAATTAACTTAGACCCAAAACGCTGATGGACCCACTGTTTAGCTACGAACTCGTTCTAAATTTGAAGGCCTCTGTTTTTGTGTTATCTTGGTTATTTAAGTATGTACCATTTCAGTCCACCGTAAACTATCCGTTTTCTTTCATTTTTAGGTCACTCTACAATATGCACGCCACTTATTTACATCCCGCCGTTTCACCTTAGCTAAACACAAATTTTAACATAATTAACGAAGCCAAAGTGAAACTATCGAGATGCTGTGCAGCCCAAAGTGCGTAGAAAGCCGATGGGTTTAACTTAATTAAGAAATTTGTAAAAGACCACTTGTTGAGCTGGATCCTCCCCTTGGCTCTAAATAATTTATTTGCAATTATCCCTATGGTTGGTTGCACTGTATGGATGTACAAAAATGAAATCGGCGGAAAGGCTTGTGAGTCATGGGACCTCTTAACACAAACACACTCACAGACAAACCACAGTGTCAAGTTTATTCGTGTTCTTGAGGGCAGGCTACGAAGGTCTTCGAGTACTTTTCAACATCTTTCTTAAGCTTGTTCGGCTTGGTGGTTACGCGTCTACCCAGCTGCAATGGAAAAAGGGGAGTATTAGCTTTGTCACAAGACCGACTCTGTGTTGTATATTAGACCTCTAGAGCGTAGTCAACTTACAAGTGTACGCTTTCGGAAGAAAAGAAATGTCGGGCAGGCGGTAACGTTCAAATCACGCGCAAGTTGCTATCATCGAAACAATAAAAGAATGAATAGTCATCCTCATGTTAGAAGATACATATGAAGAGTCTAATAGAATGGGAACTCACAAGGTTCCTTGTTGCATCAACGGCGAGGATAATGAGCTTTTTGAATTCTTTGCTAATTTCCTGCAGGGTGGACATGAGATTTTCGAAATCCTCATCATTGAATTTCACGAAGGCTACCATGATCAGTCTTGCCTTGGCCTCGTCAAGACACTCATCAAATGACATGTTAATCTAAAACACGTTTGAAAGAAGCCTTGTCATTTAAGTATAGCAATTAAGATGAGTGTAATATTTCACTAGCTCACCTCACAAAGGCCGGACATTTTGCAGTATCTGAGGGAAAGAAAACAAAATCGTTAGGGGAACAATCAGGGATTATTTTTTTCCTAAAGAAAAGACCTCACAGTTGATATGAGTGCAAATTAATCCAACAAGCTCTGGTACGATCTAGTGATTGACTTTCTAAAATCCGTAAGTATTTAAGTCGCTGCAAGGTCGTTGGTTGCACACCGCCAGGGATGATTTGATTGGATCCGTACCTTCTACGCACCTATCAAATCGTTGGTGATGGCAAAATTCCTGAGTAGTGTCAGGGACAGTTAAACCCCATTCTTGGCTCAGAGTACTCACCAAATCCAAGTCTTAGTCATCCACTCACGAGAGAAAACGCTGTGACATACACTCGAAGATCATTAGAACTGTGATTGCAGAGATTAATGTGCCACGGTAACCCGGAGCTCAAAAGAGCAGGGCAATCAGCACTTTCTTGCTTCTTGTCACCTAAATTTAGTGGATTGACCACTTCCAAGCCCCTAATTTACAAATACCAGTCGGCTTTATCTATTTCTATAGGTCTTTTTCCCGTTTGATCTGGAAGGTAACGCTTGAAATTTCTTCTCAATGAAGCCTGAAGAACTGCCTAACTATAAGAGGGGTTCAGTGTCGAAAATGGCAGTCTTCATTAACGTTTATCAAAGAAGTGGCATAAGGAAATCTTTTTAATAGCAGACAACCGAAATGCTGGAATGCAGAACTTGGAAGCGGGTTTTCCACTTGACGGTGACAGGAACAATCCGGTAGGGAAGTCACTCTACTGCTTTCTTCTGTCCTCCAATTGAGAGGCACGTTTAAACACCAAACAGTACCGCTATATTAAATGCGGTAAAATAAAGGCGAACAGCATGCAAAACTCCCCAAACATTCCACTATTGCTCAAATAATTATGTCAATTTGCGTGTAATCAAGAGAAAACAATGCTTTTAGGGCGGGAAAACTCGAAGCGGCCCAACACAACGCATAAAAATGTCATAAAAACCATATCCTTAAAGACTTGATGTAGCTGGAAAGTAGTTTCATTCCACAAGGTTGTGGGCGAGTCGATCAACTTAATGAGGCACGCCACGAGTCCATTTCTTTTAATGACATATTGACGAAAGAGATGTGAAGAATTTGGCAATCGGCAACAAAAACGAATTAGGACTTAAGCCTCGAGGTTAATGCCACTTTCTTGTGTCTTGTCGATCTTAAGCACCCCTAAGGATTCGGACTGCCGGTGGATGCACTCCGGGACAACGATAAAGACCGATTTGAAAAGCAAGTAAGGCGAAATGGATGGTAGAACGTAGTAAAGATAAAATTTCGATAATTACGGTTAAAACGCAGTAATTGCGTAAAGCGGGGTGCCGAAGGTAGGAGGCAGAAGAGGTTCGCGTGCGCCGTCACCGGATCAAGTGAATCAATCAGGAACTTTATCATATTTAATTATGATTGTTAAAAAGTGGTTGTGTAAACAACTACAACTGGCAAATTCATTAGAGCTGAGATAGACAACATGTCAGTCGTAACATTGTTATGATACGACCATCAAATACTTTTGTAGGACCAATTTTGTCCCAAATTCTTCCCCCATTGTCATTTTCCTTAAATCACAATTTTTTTGATAAGTTATTGCTAATTCTTGATGGTAAGAATATGTGCAACAATTACAATCAGTGACTGCTTCTAATAGCTTTTGCTTTAAAAGGTCTGAAAATTTTGGCCCCGGGAACCTCAAAGAATGAGCTAAAATACCGCTTTTGTCACAAAGCTCTCAGCAACAGCTCGTGACTGAAAATGCGGGCTGGTTTGATCGCTTTACTAGGATGTCAGCGTTCAGATGTTGGTAAAACATCGAAGAGACATTCATG